AACATGTCTTGTGCCAAATTTACTGAGCTCAAATCTGCTTCCATAGGTTGGGCTTTCGAAAAGTTGCGGTAAATCTAGCTTAAGGATATTGAATGACTAGGCCCTCAAAAAGTTGTGTTGATTCTAGTCTCTGAATGATGACCGACTTTCGAGGGGTTGCGTTAACTCTGGTATAATGACTTGACCAGTTCTCGATGTGGAATTGGTTTCCCATGTGACCCCGTGTGAGGCCACTCGCGAGGAAAAGTGTAGTGGAATAGGATCCCAGATCGGTCATATGACAAAATAGTATGCAATTAATATATGGAAAGGGGTATGATCATATATAAAGCCCTCAATCCTGATGGAATTATTCAAAATACTGGAAACTCCTGAGGACTTGCCTAAGTTTCCACCCTTGACATCACCAATACCTTTTGTGATAAAACTCAACACCTAATAATATGTGGTTAAGTTGAGACAATATCTGATGTTAGTGGTGGACCATGCTCAGTCTATAAGGTTTACCAAAAGAATGTTAATTTGGAATTTTTCTATAGTAGGAATTCGTACCTTAAACATTTTAACTATAAATTCCTCAGGTTTTAGTAATGATTGAATATGCTTTGTTGAGCTTGAACTTGGTAAAGAAGCAACTCATTTGATTGTGATTTTCATTAATCAAGTATATGAATTTGTATTGACTCATGCACTTATTAACTTGATCAACTATAACATGTTTTTTGATCAATGTATGTTCAATAAACTCTAAAGACTTCATTTGGTTGGGAGGAACTTCTAAGAAATTATTTGAATTTGACAAGAAGGATAACTCTACCATAAAGGATTAGAAACTCTCTGCAAATTCCAATGAATATGGTTTGAAATCCATTTATTTGATTTGTCTCCATTCTTATTCAAGTCAAGATTGGTATGCATGCATGGAAAGGTTCTTTATCATAGAATCGGCTATTATGGAATGCCTGATTGCATTTGCACATGATTCGTAACAAACAGTCTTTTCGAATGTGAATGTGTGATAGTCTAAATAAACAATAGTACTTCTATCATTTCATATACATTCCTAAACTTGAAATCACTTCATCTAATCCCTACAAGAAAAGTTGACAAGCCACTACATTAATTGTACAGAATGAGGTGTGTAAAAATTTATAGTAGCTTACACAATGATACAAAGCATTTTATTTCTTTTATTTCTCTATTACATATAAAGTCTGTCCTTGATATGTTGATTTTTTCATACAAACAATATTGGAGAGTGAGAAAACTAACAATAAAGAACCTCGTGTGAATGTCTATATACTCTTAATTACGATGTCGCTCAACAAAAATCGATAGTTATCTCCACAACTAACTAGGTACATATTGCGTGATTGATTGTGCGCCATGGATCAATGTGATACCTCTACATTAATTGAGAGATTTTTTAGTGTGATCGGAACACGGAATGGTACATCACATGTCTCTATATAAATTGTGGGATATGAGTGTAAAAAAGTTAATAACTTTAAAAATAAAATTTACCACAACTTATATAGAAACACGTGATGTACTATTTGTGTTCCGGTCACAATGAAAATTTTTCCCATGTTAATCAAGGACTACTAATCCTTAGTATGCGCACGCAGCACAAGTTAACAGCTGACGATAATCTTTTTCTTATTGTGTAAAATGAAGTGTTGTTCGTACCCTTCTAGTTCTCGCAACACACTCTGTATTACAAGGAATACATACAGCAGCACTTTATGAGAAGGATTTGACGATTTATACCGTCGGACAAGAGTCGTGGCTAGCCTAGCTACTAGGTCATGCATGGCAGTATCCAAGATCTTTGAGCAGAAGTAGTGTCTCTTCTCAATCTTCTCCAATTACTTGATTTGTTTTAACATGTTTCCACTAGGTTTAGGCCCACCTCCGAAGAATATATTTCATGGCACCATCCTTCATCTTCAACCTTTGTTTCAAACACGACACTGTTACATTCTCTCTCGAGGCTTCTTCTAGTGCACATCAAGTTTGAACATTTAACTTACACAATGGAACAAAAATCATTAGACCAATTGGTCTAACAGTGATCCAACGTTTTTGTTCCATTGTATAAGGTGTGCAAATTTAATGTGTATTCGAGAATTTTCATAACCTGGTGAAATCGGCCATATTAAAGTTAAAAAAATAGTAAGTGCTCAATTGCCCTAATGATTAGATTTTTCTCTTCAACTCATTGTGTTCCAAGTTCAAACACATCATCCCTCCTTCTAACTATAAATCAGTGTAGAATATCACTTTTACTAAAAAAAAAAAAAACACTTTCAAAACAAAAAACAAAAACAAAAAAATTGGATGCATACATTAAAGTAAATATGCGGGTCTAAAGCTTGGGCCTCATTATTATTTATTGTGGGTCAAAATATTGGTCCTCATTTTTTGTATGGATCGAAGCTTGGGCCATTTTAGTTCGTACATATATGACCCGACACAAAATATGGAAAAGAGAAGCAAATTCTGGGTTGATGCCAGCAATTGTGGAGAGTTTGAATTTGGACACATAGAGCACCGGCGGATCCATTAAGTGGCGGGGGTCAGCTGACTTTCCGAATTTCGATGAATCTTTATGGATGACTTGGAAGCTGCCTCTTTGAAGGTTGGAGTTGTCCTTCATAACATGCCCTATAACTACTTGATAAAATACCTGAAAGAAGAGTTGTCATTCTTATTATTATTTTTTTTAAATATCAATTTGAGTATTATATTCTTGCTATGCGTTCAAGTAGTAAATTTTCTCAATTGAAAGGAACTGGTAGCCTTGCAAACATAAAATGGTGGAAACGGGGAGGAACATAGTATATAATCATGTGTATTTGCTAATTATAGTGGCTTCAATTCTATTGGTTGTCACTAATTTAGTGGAAAGAACCTTTTTTTCCCAATGAAGTTCATTGCATAACCTAATGAGGATTCAATAGTTGAGTGTTAGCATGGTGATTTATATTGAAAACGCGTCGTGGACAATTGTAACTTGTATTGTTATTTGTTCTATAATTTATGAATGATGAAACTATGGTTTAATTTTTAAAGTTATCATATGTCTAAGAAAATTTTGAACTTTTAAATATAACCTTTCAAATAATTTTTGCTGGATCCGCGACTAACAATGAGTTCAAGAAAAATGTTCTAACCATCAGAGCAATCTACCACTTGCAGCAATTAATGGGGTTGATTACACCTACAGCCACAAAATTCTTTGAGGGTGAAATAATGGTCTCTCTCCATGAGCTCGAAACCAAATTGGAATCAAACCTGCTAATAAATTTGTGGTGCTTTCTTGTCGTCACTTATGCTACGCCGCCGCACACTGGCATCTATCCGTTCTCCCCAGTTTTAGCAAGGGTTTAAATGACGACCTCTATTTGATGGATCAAACACTTCATGCACACCAAACCAATTCACTTGTTTTGTGAATCTACCAACTCAAATGATATTAGTCTTGCTCAAGTCGAACATGAAACGTTCGACCCGATCTATACCAAGTTGATATGTTTCGTTAATTGATTCATTGCCTCAAATACTGACTCTCACCAATTTTAATCGAGAAAAACTTAGGAGCCGTTTGATAACTATTTCGTTTATATTTTTTAGTTTTTGGTTTTTCAATTTTCATTTCTTTTGAAACTAAAATCTTGTTTGCTAACTACAGACATTAAAATTTCGATGAAATAAATATTCACTAACAAATAAATTTTGACTCACTAGGACTTATGTGGCGCACAGTATGGCTCTCGTCAAATTGCACACATTAGTTGTGACTCACCAAAACTGAACAAATCATCGAGAGTGACACATGTTGACATCTAAGACCTACATTAAACAAATCAAATCATCAAAAGAAGAACAAATTAACCCTAATTGATCAAACCAAATTCACGCACATCCGCAGACGGAAGCGAAATCCAGAATAAATTATTCAAAATGCGTATCATAATGATTTTCGAACTTTTTGTTGATTCGGAGCTAGCCAAATATGGCTAGTCCTACTTGTTTGTCTCTTCAAAGATTCGATTTATCAGAGTTCCCCTGGTTGGAGTTCCAGATTCATAGCTGAAAAGCTGGATGCTGGACAGAACAAGCCTATATATTCCTGGAAGGACTTGGATGCCTTAAGAAATATTTTGTTAAGTTTATTTTACTCAAGTCATTAAGCATGTTAGAATAAAACACTTGTGGACTTTTCATCATTTGCTTCCTTATCGTGGAATATAGTTAATCCGACAATCTTTCCAAAGTCAACTAACTTCGAAGTGAGGAGTACTGAGGTGAAAAACAGGTAAGCTTGTAGGCCTGGGATAGGGCTCGAAGCTCCCCTAAATAACGTTGATTCAGAAAAAACATCACCTCCCAACCTCTCTCCTACCACGCCGCTGCTACCCCTGACGCTCCTCCCTATAGTCGAGGAGGATTCTTGGAATTATGGTTAAGACATGTCCACTTCAATGTTATGGGCTACATAAAATAGTTGCACTGGTAACAATTCTACTTGTTTTTAGCTTATGAACATCAAAGCACTACACCAATCAATCACTGAAGCTACTATTACCCATACTCGCCGCAATGCAAACTTTGTTGCTCATCGCCTTGCACGGACTGGACTCTCTTTGAGCCAAAGCTGTGAATGGCATGGTTCTCCTCCAAGTATTCTTATTGATCTACTTGTAGAAGAATGTGTTAGGTATTGATTCAAAAATTGTACACTGTTTTCTACTCTTTTTGATGAAATGAAATCTACAGACATGGCACAATTCTGAAAGGGAGGTATTGCCGTAACGCTACACCGGGGTTATGATAAATTATGCTTAGTCCGTGCCCATTTCATCGTCCTCCTATAATGCTTGATCTTATTTGTCTTCCTGTTTATTCGAACTTTATGACCATGAAAAATTGTTGATTTTACACACTAGTAACATCCGTATAGCCCAAATAAAGTTATCAAGCTACGAAACCGAATGTAAGGAATCCATCAAGATCATTGGCGATTGCACTGTATATAAAGCACAACACATTGCATATCTTTGGAGAATGGCATTCCACAAAAAAGAAGGAAGTGATTGAAGTACTAAACAGTATGTATCGACGTCTACATAACTACAATTAAAGCAAGAAGCTAGACGAGCATTTGAACCCAACAATCCAAGCAGCAAGGCACCACATGACATCACAAAGACCGAACCTCATAATTAGGTAATTTTGATGTCGTGAAGAAGGCGCGCAGCCATTGAGCCATATCTTCTAGCTTCCCAATCAGTAAGTTTATCATTCTGAAGCCTTGTCATTGGCTCGCAATCTTCCTCAACATTTTCATCGAGGGAACCAGTGTCACCTTTTTCCTTACGGCTCTCAGCTTCAACTTTCTGATCAATCACATTAACGGCGTTTTCTTCACTTGTATTTTTTGCTTCATCAACTTTCTGATCCATCACCTTATCCGCTTCTTCTGCACCAGCCTCCACTTCATCCTCATTCTGATCAATCACCTCAGCTGCGTTTTCTGCGTAACCCTCCGGAGGCTTTAATGTCATAATGTAAAGTTGAATATCTGGATGTTGGTAGGTACTGTCCATCTGCAGAGTTCGAAAAAAAAAACACCTTGTATTTAGGAAAATCAAACAAAGGTAAGAGTAAACCTTCTCCCAAGCTCAATCTCATATGTGGTGGTGCATCATGAATGACACAAGACCCTGCAATAAGTTAGCCCCTAAGAATATCAATAATTCAATCCATATACTAACATTAAATGTAATCAACGCCATAGCTCTTATTCGGATATTAACTACATGTCCCAGGTACCAGGAATTTCACTTGCAAACCACATGCAGAAAATGTAAATACTGATAATTATTTGGATCTATATACTGTGCTAGAGGAACTAAACTGTACCTTTGAATTTGGAACAGTTTTCACCTCGAAGTTTCTTTTCCACATTTGAAGCATTTGTTCATGGACACTTGTAGATCGAATCTCATACCCCATCTTCCCAAAATTGAAGCCCAAAATTGAAGCAAACCAGTGCATCAATAACAATAACAATGTTTAGAAAGTACAAATTAAAAAATAAATTTAAAACCTATGAAGTACCATACCAAAATTGTAGTTTTCGGGCCTGATAATGCATGTATTGTCTGCAACAGTGGTTCCAACAGATTTTCTTTATAGACCTTAAATCCAAACAAGTAGAAAATAGATCAGTTAAAACTAATTAACAATGTTAAAAGAGGACTATAACATCATACATGACGTTTTAAGGACCGATGTTATTCTGGAATCCCTAAACAAACAGAAGGAAAATAGAATGGGAGGAGGAAAAAAGACTTGGGTGATCGGATCCTAAAGCAAGTGCATAAAATGAATTCGAGAAGCAATATCAAGAAAGAGTGCGACTGAGTTACTCACATATGAAAGTTTTATTTTTCTTTCTAAAAAGAAGCCATTACTTAAATCCCTAAAAATAGAAGTTCAATCTGGATATCTGGGCATGATGCTCCGTTTCCAGTATCCTTGGGAAATGAAAGCTAAAAGAATGAAAAGATTTAACTCTTCATCTTGGTGAAAAGGACATGGTTTCGTCGACCAATTAACGGGTCATTTCTGTTTAAAACCTTCCGTACATTCAGGGACTCCAGCCTTACCCAGATGTAATTCATTACAAGCCCTTCACACTGAAAACTAATGAAACCCAAAACTATCATGTCATGATAAATACTTGAGATATAACTATTTGCCATTGTAGGTCCATAAACTACCGAAGAAATTTGAAGTTTCAATTTTCAGCTGCAACCAAACGAACTTACAACATCAGTTCCAATGATGTAGTCAAATGGTGGTTCAACAGCTCTTACATGATCATCATTTCCCCAGCTCAACTCTGCTGCCTGGATCGACCCAAATGAGTCTAAAAAAAAATAGCTTACATGAGTTGTGAGCAAAAACCAAAATGGGCAATTAAACTGACTAAACCAATCAAAACTTAAAAAACAGAAACAATTGGTGCAGTTGGAGTGTTGAAAGACTTACACTTCCTACACGGAACAGACTGGACATAAACAAAACATTTAATTGCACGCGAAGTCAGAAAACAATATTGGTCCAATTTACTGTAATTATCTTCCTAACTGCTCTACACCATTTAAATCTTAACATATAAATATGTTATGGTCTCCATCCCTCCCTCCCTTACACACAATCAATAAAGGCTGTTATGGTGCTTGTTTTGGTGAAATCTCTCAGAAACAACCAGTTCTAGCCCCATACCTCTTTTGATGGATACAAGTAGCATAACTACCCAAAGTTTATTGATGTATGGGTAGGCTCCAAGACTCAAAGTATTGCCCTCCGACAGCTAAATAGTTTACTAATTACCGCACTAAGGCACACCAAATGCATGTATATATATAAATACACTCACATGCACGCACACATATACGAGAGCTAGTACATGCACAAGGTATTAAAAATTGTTCAGAAGATTCAAGGCAAACTAGAACCAGAATTCATCTGTGTGATCCTTGAAGTGTTCCGTTCAACATTTCTCATTAGCAACGGCAAAACCTCCACTTGATCTGTCGTAACCACATCACACCCCAGTAATGCCATGCCTGAAAGAGAAAAACCAGATAAAACAGATGAATAACACTTGAGAAAGAAAATTAAAATACCAAATTCAAGCAGGGAAAGCATACAAAATCATACAGATAAAATTCAACATAAACTTAATAAGAAAAAAGGAACTCACCAAACCCAGCTACTCCACAACCTGCTCCAAGTTCAATGACACGTTTTCCTTTCATTTTAGGTGGTGAGAACCTTCCCTTTCTGCAATTCTTTTCCTGGAATAACCAAAAATGTCACATTTACATTCATAAAGAAAAATCTGCCATGGAAGTACAGTATGTATGAACAAATGATGTGCTCAGGATCCAAAGAGAATCCAATACCTAACCAAAAGGGATAGGCTAACACCACCGACAGCATAAAAATCTATACCTAGAGCATAAAAATCATTTTATCAACAGGGACAGAGTATCAAAATTTTCTGCCGACTCAGTAACATAGCAGCCTTAGGGATTGCCGGCTCCTCTGAGAAATAATCTCTGGCTCTGCCCAGGAAAATGATGGCAACAACATAAACGAAGGGTCCATGTGAGCAGCTGCGGCATCTAAAACCTCTTTCGATTAAAAAACTTAATCTATAATTGTAGTCCCTTTGGCCCAAAATGAAAGAGTTGAATAATCCTTTGATATTCGTAGGAACCAAAATGACGTTAAATAGCAGCTACTCAATAATATGTTTGTTGTTGGTTTTATCACATTATCGTTTTTTTAGGTTGACAGAATCATTTAGAATAAAAATGGGAAGATCATTACCTAAACACCTTGGTTGTTTTTCATTTCCTTTCATTTGATCAAATTCAAAATCATCAATGCATATTGCATAAACACATCTATTTTACATATGAACAGCCTTGATGTTCCTAAAATATCCAAATATTGCATTCAACAAGGTGCAAAGGCCTCAAAGTTTAACAAAGTTTAAAATCAATCATAAAAAGTCACCTACATGCATCATATCCCATGCGTATTTTGCGAATTGTGGAAACCAAAATGATCGGAACTTGTACAGGAGTGTCTAGGGGGGATCACAGTCATTACCAGAAACTTGACAAAAACCAATGAGGCATCCCAAACAGTAGTTCCTAAATGCTTTGAATTGGGATCCTACGGAAAAGATAAAACATTCCACGGTCAGGGAAGAAGTTATTAGGACATGTATGATTACAAAGCCATTATTAAAGTTGATAACGGGTAATTCATGAAACAGAACATAGGATACCTACAAGCCGTGGTAGACGGTAAATGGCAAAAATAATCATACAGAAAAGTACAGGGCGGATTCTTCCAAAAGCACTAACCTTAACAACTTCTGATTGCAAAGATCTTTCTTAGCGCGTAGCAATAATCCGAAAAGAAAAAAACAAACACAAAAAAGGGAAAAAAGAACAAACCTGAGCAAACTGTAAGTCATGGCCCAAAACTTCCAAACTCATAGTAAACGTGGTGGGCGAGTTTAATCTGCAGCACAAAATCTCACCACCCTTAACAAACAATTACCTTTCGGAAGGTTTGATTCTTCGAATTGCATAAGCATTTTGATTTTCTAATAACAAATCCAAAAATTTCAAAACTTTATATAAAAATGTAACAAGTAAAAACAATTAAATAGTAAAGATTGCCCATAATATTAATACCTGTCAAGCTCCATTTGATTGCTACAATGTTCCCCAAGAAAATTGATATTCCAGTGCTGAAAACCCAACTCAAATAAGCAAAATGAAGTGCCACCCTACCATAATATTCAAGAAAAAATTGAGCTTTTCAGTGTAATTAAGCAAGAAACTTTCCTTACATTAAACAAAAAAGAACAAAATTATCACTTTCAGTTCCAATTAGATAACTCTTAAACTCGATCTTAAACTCTTTTTGTACTTTGCACCTGAGGAATGAGAAAAAGACGATCAAACTCAAAGTCGAAGTGAAGAAATTACCTGAAACTCAAGTGTCTTCTGAAACTCTGAATCAAATGGACCGAACCGATGATGTTACCTTTGAGTTTTGGGAAGACGAGTTTTAAAGAGAGGCGACAGTAGAACTGAACTAGAGAGGTGTACTCGGCTAAAAGCCCAATGCGGTTTCGACCCTGAACACTTTGAGGTCACATTTTTCAGGGCCATGATGGGTTTGGATTCTTTTTTTGTCGTCAAACATTTTGGGTTTGGGCTTGGATTGCAAATGGTTGCTAAAATTTTCACCCATAAATTATAAAAACCGTCATGGTAGCCCAATGGTTGAGGATAAATTTTAAATTTGTATGTCCTAGGTTTAATTATTGACGTTGATGAATTACACGATGGTGATCATGGAAGGTTAAAATGAGTCCGTAAGTTTTCCTGACTTCTAAAAAGTGAATTAACGTAGCTAAGCCACCAAATGGTACCCTCTTTCAAAGAAGAAGCTATAGATTATTACATTTTGCACCTTGTAAAAAGGTTCCTCTTTTCCTGAGAATCTGAAGGATATTATAATTGTGTCAATTTATCGTATATCGTGCAATCAATTTTTATTCAGTACTATTTATATTTAATTTTTAATTTTTAATTTTAAATAATTTCTAACTTCCTTTACCACCACCAACGTTTACATTTTCCCCGCAACTTTATTTTGAGAAAAGCAGTGAAGTAGGTGAAGCCGTGAGTGAATGATGGAAGCCGATAAGCCAACGACGATGATCTGCACATTGCTAGCAATAGACAACACCACCGGCTTCTCCTACAGAGTCTGCTCCGTCTGCGAGCGGACTCTCCCCGACAACCCTTCCTCCCTCTGCAAATTCTGCAGCGTCAATGCCTTCAACCCCCGCTTCCCACGCACCAAACGCCTCTTTCGCCTTCTCGTAACTCCCTACCCTTTTCTTGGAAGGCTGTTTGCCCATTTCAAAAGTGCTTTTCAAGAATTGCTTTCTGTTGATTCGTATTGGGTTTCTTTGGGTTGTTTTGGCAGATGTCAATAGCTTCAGATACAAAAGTGCTTAATGTGATATGCTTTGATAGGGCTGCCAAGGTTCTGTTTGGTTGCTCTGCTGATGAGTTTTTTGACTTCGCCAAGTTTCACCCTTTTGCTGGTAAATCTCCTTTTCCCACTTCAGATTTTCATACCCATAATCCCATTTATGTGAATTTTTGTGTGCTTTTACTGTTCAGGAATAAACACCACTTAAAATTCAATCTTTTGCTTTGACAATGCGACAAATCTATTTTAAGCTAATCTAATTACGTGGAGCCCCTTAGTGCTACGGTCTAGGGCTAGTCCTCTTTACCTGGTAAGTGAGAGATCTTAGGTTCGATTATCACCAAAGGCGAATTTGAACCAAATTATTGTAACCTATTGTGAGGCTTAGCCCACTCTCCCACCTCTTTAGCGTAGATAATATCGTTTGTTCAAAAAAAAAAATTACGTGGAGGGGCATCTGAGCTCCGATGGCGTGTCCAACTGACCTAAAGCTCACATTTGCCACTCAAAATTTAATCTTAATGTTGGTGTGCTTATGTATTCTCCCATTTTGACTTATGTTTTGATGCTTTCGTAGTCAATTGCAATGTGATGTGCTTCTTTGGAGAAATACGAATGTAGTAAAATTTTCTGATGATTTAAAATTAAGGCAACTTTTAGCAGCCATATGCTTTTTTGTAGCTCTATTGTATTCTCCCATGGTTGAATTTTTAAGTTCATCTTCAAGAAATTTTCTTATTGATTATTATGCCTAATTTGTTTCTGTTTTGGGATGTTTTGTGCAGCTGTTAATGCTAGTAGAATTCTGGACGGAGAGATGTTTAAAATGACACTATCCAAACCAAAGAACGGGAATGCACAACATCTGCGAGCGGTTCAAGTTGTTCCATTGAGGTCTGGTTTTCGGCCAGCAATTGTGAGCTTGAGGGAATTGTATGGAGTAAGAAGCTCTTAACTGTTGTTTTCATCGACTGTATATTGCTGCGTGCTTGCAAATACAACTGATTGTCTTTTTTTATTTTCATCAATATTGAATTGCACTGCGTTCTCAAAGCACTTAACTTTTTTTTGTTGCCTGGCTTTATACTAGGAAAAATTAAGCAAACGGTACCAGTTAGGTGTGTGTCTAGCAATGATCCATGGCATGGCTTTTTCATAGTTCTCCAAAGAATCATCTACCCAATTTTGCAATATATGGTTGTTAACTTTTAAAAGAGTATGCTGGTTTTGCAAATACCAGATATGTTGAACTTCTAAAAGACAAGAAACACTGTTGGAAAAGTGAAATAGTATGGTGAACCGTTTTGGTACAAACCCCGGCTCTACATTAGGATTTTATTCCGGTCAAATCAAGCATGGTAACTACAGTTATGAACAAGTATATCATAATTCTTCCTGCCCAACGGACACCGGGTTAGAAACCATGTGGTAGCAGGCTAGGATCTGAGGGTATCAGTTGGGGCAACTCTTTCACCTGACTTGGCCACAGCCATATTTCCTTGCATCCAGTTTGTAAGCATCTGTAATGCTGCTTCTGGTTGATCCATTGGAACCATGTGACCAGCGTCATGAACCTGTTTTTGGTTGCATACCAAATTTTCCGAAGTTACTATTTGTAATCAGAGAGAGAGAGAGAGTTGAAGGAGAGGGAGAGAGAGACCTTGAGGAAAGCCAGAGGTCCATGGCTTTTTAGCAGTCCAGCTTCTGCACCTGCAACCTTGAATGGAACAGTTTGTGCTGCTCCGAATGCTTTCTGACCAGACCATTCCATGGCATGAACCCACTTTGAATTCCCTGCAAAATAGAGAGACGTCGTAATATGAAAATTATCGGAAGTACTTTATCCTCTCTTAATACATTGCAACACGAGCTTTTTGCTGGAACAAAGAAGCTCACCAAGCCAATTGCATATGAAATCGTACTCCCCAGCATACACAAGCAGCTTTATTCCATCTTCAAGAAGGGCAGGAATTCCCACTTCCAGATTTCTCATCCAGTCATTCTGCATAGCATCATATACCGTAGTGCTGCATGAAACAAATTCGATGTCCCCAACTCCTAGGGCATCCCTAACCGGTTGCTTGTTCAAGAATGTCTCCATGTTCGAGAAGTCATAGCACAAGCTCCCCTCACATTTCTTCCTAATATCATAGTGCTGCATATATCCAAAATAAAGTAGATTCTCAGCATACTTGAACTCGTTTTTATGTTTGTGTAGAACTTATAGCTCTGCCGATGATAAATATTTTGCGTTTTTTCTTACATTTGTATCACTAATTATTTGCATTATCTGGTTAACTATGCTGTTGCAAATACTAAGTGAATTCTCACAAGCGTCTCCACTCGTAGAGGCGGCTGACAGTTTGAAACATCAGAAAAGTACATGAGTCAGATAATCTTGTTCAAACAACCATTAAATCTCATTTGATACCGTAATCAACAGGTATGTGAAGAACAGAAGAAATGAAGAGGAAATACCGCAAGCCTTCGCTGACTCTTCGCAGTCTGGAATTATCTGCGATATACTGTCGTAGTCAGGTTTTGTAATCAACTTCATTTCCAGTGCATAATCACTGTATGCCTTGTACTGGATTTCTGGATTGGTCAACCCATTACCTATGGCAAAACCCTGTTCAACCGGAGGAGATAAACCGATCAGATCAGAACTACCATAGCAGATAAAGCAAATGCAGTCAGCCCGTTGTAACTATTACAGATACCTTGAGGTTTATGTGAGTCCCTTCCTTTGCTTTGTTTCCTTTGTGAACCCGAGAAGCAAGCGCGGGAACGTAGTGCCCAGCATATGACTCTCCGGTAATGTAGAAGTCATTTTTAGCAAATTGAGGATGTTGAGTGAAAAATTCCTGTCACCATGAAGAGAAGCTGGTAAATTCAAGGTCTCTAAGATTGATAAAGGAAACTTCACTTGATTCAGTTGCAATGTTGATGGAAGTGCCTTCGTATGTATTTACGAAGGCAATTTTTAACGACAGTTGTTCACATGTGCGAATGATTATCATTCGTTGATGCATATGATGGATCATTTCGTATACATCAACGACAAGTGCATGTCTGTTTAACATAAGGTAATCATTAGGACCTGAAGAAAGTCATATAAATCGTTGCTGACGCCTTCTTCGTCGTGACGAATGTCAGCCGAATTTGTAGTATAGCTGAAACCAGTTCCAACGGGTTGGTCAACGAAAAGAATGTTCGATGCCTGCCAAACAAGAACTCGTTCAGAAACACAAACAATCGATAAACGATAAGAAAAAACACCTCGGCCAAGCACCATTACAGTACCTTGTCCCAGCCGTAGTCATTCCAAGTGAGTGACAAGTTCTTTTGAATGCGGAAGGGACCATTTTCATAAAACAAAGCCAGTTCACTGCTACATCCCGGCCCTCCAGTCAACCATATCACAACAGGATTGTTCTTGTTGGTCCTCGATTCGAAAAATAAGTAGAACATACTGCAAAAAATATAGGATTCGAGTAAAATTCAGAGTTTCCAGTTTCCCAAATCATATGTGATTTGAATTACGGGTTTAAGACCAACCCTTCTGCTCTTACCTTGCAGCGTTCGAGCGGGGAAGGCGGTAGTAGCCGGCGTGGTGACCAAGCTCTTTAACAGAAGGACCCAAAGCGGCGTCAAGAAAAGGCATTTGGAACTGCTTCTCGACAATCTTAGCACCAGCATCACTCTCAGCATCCAATAAAGGCCTGTGGGGTAAAGTGTTGATATCATCCTTTGGGAACAAGTTGAGGGCTCTGATGAACTTCTCCGCTTGGCGTTTTGCGGAGAAGGCGGGGGAAGACAAGCGAAGGCGGTCGCTGGCGGGGTTCAACGCAGATGATAAGAGTGGGAGGAGGAGGAGGAGGAGGAGAATGAAAAGAGAAGAGAGGGAAATGTGAGAGAAAGTAGGAGATGTCATTGTTGTTGGTTTGTTTTGTATGGGAAGAAAAGTGTGGGGGTTGGAGGGAATATATAGTGTTGGATGTAAATAAGAAGGAAAAAAACAGAGTTGGCAAAAGGATGGACTCTGGTGTATGAAAATGTCCAACCCTCAGTGGCGGAGGTAACCGTCTTTGTATTTATTATATTTTAAAAGAAAATTTGTTTTAAAAAAAAATAATAATAATTTTGCTACTATCACTTAGTACTGCGATTTAATGGTATTCATCTTCACTTGTAAGTCAGATATGTTAGGTTCGATTCTCGTCAAATGCAAAGTTGAACCATATTATTATGGCAATCTCATTGTAAGGCACTCTTCCAAATATTATCGTTTGTTAAAATAATAATAATTTTGCTGGTAAATCTTCATTTAATTATTTTGTTTTCATTCTATTATGTTTAAATGAGATTGATTAGATGATATTTGACAAAAAAAAAAAAATTAATTGACAAATGACGAGATTTACAAAAATTAACTTTATAACATATATTTTATTATCTAATACTTGTCATAATAAGTAATTGTGAGTCACAACTTAAAATTGACCTCGTTAGAAATATAAATATCGTAGTTGTAATCATGTGAGCTGGACTTGATACATATTGTCTCATAATGTTCATGTGTAATAGTTGAGAATTGAATAATTGATGGGGATTTAAGAAATCATCAGACCCCATTCAACAAAGAAAGAAAGAAAAAGACAACAAAGAAAGAAAGGAAAAGAAGGGGCTCTAAGACAAGGAAAGACATAAAAGAAAGAAAAGAGCAACTTATGGACCAACTGTCACGCATTTTCCTTTAAGAAAAAAAAAAATGTTTAGGCAGTTAAGGCCCGTTTAGTATCTTACTAATTTTTTTTTTTAATTAATTTCAAAAATATTCTTTGAAAAATCATTTCTTATAGTTTTTTTAAAAAGACTCAAAGACTTTTTTAGTTTAAAATTTAAAATTATTTTTAAATCTTAGCAATTAAAGAAACAAGAAAGGGAGAGACGGGAGAGAAGGGAGAGAGGACCGAAAGAAAGGGAGAGAGAGAATCCGGAGTGAGAGAGACGATAGATATAAATACAAAGAGAGGGAAGGGAGAAAGAAGGGATCAAGAGAGAGGAGAAAGGAAAAAAAATAGAAAGTAAAGATGAGAGCGATAAGTTTATAAGTAGACTTTTTGTTTTTCCATAAGTAAGGTAATTTTTAAGTTCGTTTTGAGTTCGTTTTTTTTAAAATAGTCATATTAAACAAGAATTATTGACTTGAGACTTAAAAACTGTTGCTGAATTAAAAAACCGAATTCAAGTTGCAAATCAAACAAACCTTAAGTTTATGAATTGATATTCCATGGACAACTACTTTGTTTTATACTTTTTTTTCGCAAATACAATTTCGAATAGTCCTAATTTTACAAATATGTGCTAAGCCTAGAAATTATAAATTTGTTTCTTACAATAAAAAGTGGCTTTTTACCAAATTGTTGTACTTGCGTGTAAGGCATTGTTTGCCTGCACACCAAAAATGTGTTTTCATAATAAAAAGATAAGAAAATTCTTTAAAAAGCCCCAAATAGGAGGACGATGCTTTGAAGAAATTGTCATCCCAAATCCCAAATGTTGGAGTGACTTTAAATAATGGTAATCTATCAAGAAATAATGGTCGACCAAAGAAAAAACATATTAGAAATAGCTAATTAAAGTAGATATGAGTTTAGCATTTAGTACTACGGTCTGTTGGTATTCATCTTCACTCGTAAGTGAGAAAGTCTTAGGTTCAAGTAACAGGAATAGCGAGTTTGCAACCAATTTAGTGTAAATAATTAGTTGTGATTGACTCATTAAGTGGCTTAGTTCAAATTCTCTCTCCCCAACAGAGTAAAACAGATGTGAATTAAGCTAATTGGGTAGTATAGTTTGTTCGCATTCACTTGAGTTCGAATTTGCCTCTTTTCGTATATTAGAGTAGTTTAAAACATTTGCATTCTTAGTAGAAATAACTAGATAAAATATCCAAGAAATTAATAATTTTTGCATACGGGCCAAACTGCAAGGGAAAGAGCCAAGTATTTTCCGCAGCAACATTTATGCAAGAATTTAATTAATTATATGTTGACTAGTAGAAGGGGGAATGAATTTGTTTTGCTGCATGATTGCTTAACATGATAGCGTGATTATTAGGGTCCATTTCCAGCTATGTCAGTTAAATCATGTGTTAAGGGAGAATATGATTTTTCCAATTTATTGGACACTTAAGTTTGACTCTGGAATCTGGAATATGGATCCAGCTTCTTGTGACAGCCAAGAACCACGTCGTTTAAAGCTGGTTTGACATTGCTGTGCTTTAAAAAAAAAAACTACTTCTGTTGTGCTGTGAAAACAAGCTTATTTTTGCCATTTCACATTTTCAGTTTTTTTTCACCCAAAACTGTAAAAATAAGCTGTTTTTAAGTATTTACTAAACACTTTTTTAAGCTGAGCTTTTTTTAATACCCACTTTTTATATAAGCACTTCAGTACCAAACTAGTACTAATAATAAGCACTTATGTCGAAGCACTATCCCAACCAAAATTCTTACCCACTTTGCTTTGACGACCATCCACTACGACCTAATTTGGCCATAAAGTCTAAAAAGGAGAATTGGATAATGATAGGTGAAATATGATGCAACCACAAGTTCCTAAAGCTAAATGGGGTCATTGAAACGGTAACATGTCCGTATGTTATGTTCCAAATTCATGCGTTATCAACACCTTATTGCTAAAGAACGGATTACATGTAAAAAGAACGGATGATGCATGAGTGCAATACTCTTCATGCGTAAATTGCAATCCGTTTTGAGTACAGATATTGAGCGTAAATACAGGGAGAAAGTAGATCGAAGCTCCGGCCGCAGTTACCAACGATAGAAAAACATACGCAACGCAATACACAGTGATACTAGTTTGGTTGCAAGTTTCACGAAATGAGTTTTGCATTTGAATATTGCACAATAACAGCTTACTTGTAAACTCTTTCGGAAGCTGCTTCAATTTAACATACAGTAGACAATACATCTCTGGTGTCCTCGGTCAGTGGTAAACACGGGCTTTACTGCAGAATCCGGTCAGATAAAGGAGAATGGCTGAAGGGCTTCAACTTATCTTATGACCTAACGTTTGCAAGCCGGGCCCTTATTTCTTCCAACTCTGCCTCATCATCGACACCCTCAGCTATTGCCTCTTCCTGCAGAAGCAAAATGGTGTATCATATTGTTCGGCTTCTTTGAAAGGTAGAAACTTATGACTGGAAATGGGACTTCATGATAGTCACGTCACACATACCTCCTGTCTAGCTTGTGCAGTAGCAGGTTGCTTCAACCTCTCCTTCCTGACCGCTTCTGGAAGCTGGGCAGCAGTCTCACCAGCTATAGAAGTCAAAACTTTGTCGACTTCTTCTTCTATTTCTTCTTCTATGTCCTCGGAGTCTAGTGCTGTGTCAAGACTATCATTCACCACCTCTTCAATTACTCCTGCCTACAAATAAACAATATAACCATTGCTTATTGACCAAAATACCTTACGGGTTACAAGGTTAAATAAACTATGGGAACAACTTAATGAAAAGCTAGTTAAAGCAACAAACATAAGTGATGATAACATTTAATTCTTCCAGCAGGAAACATCTATATACAGTCGACAAACAAATAGATCTAACAGAGACCATAATTTAAGAAAACTATTCTCCCAAAACCTATTATTTGCGGTTACATTTTCCCAAAACTTTTCATCTGGGACAAAAAGGGAGAAGAGGAAGAATATTTGGACAAATAACGAACTTTCAAATTCCAAAGCAATTCTGTATACACATTACAGAAAAAATAATGTTGCTATGAGCATGATAAAACTGCGACAAACAAAATGAAAGACTGTCATGTTTGTGCTT